TATATATATATATATATATATATATATATATATAGGTGTGTGTAATTTCGTTCTAGTATGATCGAATATAAATTTATATTGACAGCTGCCAGAAACAAAGAAAAACATCAACTTGACCTATTTTTGAGTCTATAAAAAGATGAAGTACATGAACAATTTTCTGCACACCAATTTTTCAGTTTCGAGTTAATTAACCCGGTGGGTCACTGAAGCAACTCCCTCAAGGTACAATCGGTTCCCTCTTCCTGTTGTCATTTAATCTTTCTTTTTCTTTTTCTTTTCCTTGTTTTTTAATTGTGATAAATTATATTTCAGCCTTTGGAGACAATAAATGATGATGGAGAATGGTATACAAGGTAGTACCAGAGACCATACTTCAGTTCGTATAGTAGACGAAGGAATTGGGCTCGAGGCGTTGGAAAAAACAATGAGTAAAAAGCTTTGCCCTCGTTCACCCTCCTGGGCTGCCAAATGCTGCATCTTCAGAGTTCCCCCGGTGCTCAAGAGACATAAACCAGACGCATATGAACCTGATTTCATTTCAATCGGTCCGTTTCACAGGGGAGGTAAACAATTTCAACACATGGAAAATGTGAAACAATGGTATTTAAATAATCTTTTGTCACGCAGGAATCTGAGTTTGAAACACTTAATCGATCACATTGTTGAGCTAGAGCAATCCGCCCGTGAATTCTATGCTGAACCACTTGATCATCTAAGCCAGAACGACATGGTAGAAATGATGATACTTGATGGTTGCTTTCTGATTGAACTGTTTCGGAAGTACCAATCTCATCAGGAAGATGTTGATGACCCCATCTTCAGAATGGATTGCATGTTCCAATATCTATGCCATGACCTCTTGCTGCTAGAAAATCAGCTACCTTGGTTTGTTCTCCAGCATTTATATCACCTTACCCTCGACCCCTATAAATCCAGTCCCTCCCTCACCGTACTCATGCTCACAGCCTTCACATCACAAAAACCATTGAAGCATAACTGCGACTCCTATCTAGGGTATGTTTATGAGGAGAAGCATGATAAAAATTGCAAAACTCTGCACATACTTGATTTGATAAGAACTTCGATAGTTTTCCCATTCCAAGACCACAGAAAAGAAAAAGAAAAGGAAGCGAAGGAGAAAAAGAAAAATGTTTGTAGACCAAAAAGAAGAAGAAAAAGAAAGAGCAATGACCAATTGGACACAGATATGGACTCGGAGTTTCCTCCTGCAACTGCTCTATCGGAGGCAGGCGTTAAATTCCGAAGCAATACAAAAGCTGGCAGCATAATGAATATCGAATTTGAAAAAGGGGTCTTCTGTTATTTTGGATACAAAAGGGGTACTTTTGAAATCCCACACCTATCAATTGGGGAGTTGACCGACCCATTATTTAGGAACCTCATTGCCTTTGAGCAATGCTATCATCACCATTCGCATGAGATAACATCTTATGCATTTTTGATGGATAAACTCATCGCTTCCAGCAAGGACATGGAGTTTCTGTGTGATAAACGGATAATAGATAATTGGTTGAGCGCTGAAGATGGTGCCAAGTACTTCAGCAAGCTCTGCAATGACACCGTGCTAAAAAAGTTCTACTATGAGGCACTCTGCGAAGAAGTGAATATGCATTACAAGGTTAAATGGTACAGGTGGCTTGAAAAGTTGAATCGTGACTATTTTGCAAACCCATGGAGTGTCATTTCTCTCATTGCAGCTGCTATACTTCTGGCTCTCACTGTCGTGCAGACTGTGTATACCATTCGCGGTTAGCTTTGAAGGACAAATGTTAATTGTTTCTGTTTTGTTGTTGTTGGCACTAAGCTTTGCAGGAGAAGTGTTCGGTTTTTCTGCTAAACTTAGTGTAATGCTCTTGTTGTAACTTTCTACTAAAAACAGCTCGAGCGTTTTCTGGTAGAGAAAAACAGCTCGAGCTACTTTTGTTAGAAACTTTTAAATTACTGTTTTTGTTGCTTGGTCTCTATGAAGCCACGTTGGTGGCATTTGTGTTGGCTATTGTTAGCCTTTCCTTTTAGTTGGTAATAAGCTGACCATCAAGTGGGCAATTAAGATTGTAATAGATATTTGGTAGAGAGAGTTGCCCTTCAAGGGTGAAACAAGTTTGGTCTGTAGTGCTCCAAACCTCTGAGTTCATTCTCTTATTTATCATTCTCTTTCTCTTATCTTTGCATATTAATCTCTTGAGTGATTTGCTGTTAGCATTACCAAAAAATTTCCAACCTTTTCTTCACTATGTATCTTGATGTACCGAATGCAGGGAATCTCAAACATTCGAATAACCCTACTAATCAAACTTCATCATCAAGTTTCTGATATGTTTCCCTTATAGTTCTAATTCAACATAGTGGTACACGTGCCTAAATCTATAGGCCATCTGAAAACCCCAATTCTGGAATCTCTAATCTCTGAAATCTCAATTCCTGAAAAAAAAATTAATTTCTCCAAATGCCAAGTATGTCATGTTTCTGAAACTCATGAATTTCACAAATCTCAAATCTTCTTGTCTCAAATTCTCTTCTAAATCTTCTTCTTCTTCTTTATTATTCTTCATTTCTTCAAATCTTCTTAATTTCTAAGAGATCATTAAGTTCCTGTCTTCTCTTTCCTTCTATCTTAGTCTCTCTGATTTGGGCCAATGATTGCGTTTACTGTTTTGGGATAGTTGTTGGGTATGCAAATATTTGGCGGATTAGATTGGGCATGTGAATCATGATGGTTAAGCGTATTTCAAGCATGGGTGCAAAAAAATTCTGGCATATGTTTTACCAAGTATATGGACAAGGCTTGATTCTCCATTATATTTGGTTGGAGGCACAAGAATTTGGTTAAATCTACAAGTTAGTTGGGCCTTTGTTCTCAAAAGGCTTTTGTGAAAACAAGTAGTCATCGCTGAAACATATAAATTCGTCACAGTTAATCACATTTGAGGAAATTTCTGCTTAACTTCCGTCACCAATTGTCTAATGTGACAGACCCGAGTCGTCACACATCTTCCCTATATGTGACGAATAGTTTGTAACCCATATGTATCAACTTGGAGTTTAATCCAAAGATCGCAAACACTGTCTCTCCCCAACTCACGGATTTACATAATTTTTGATTAAGATGTGATTCACACCTTAATCATATAATTTAATAAAACCTATAACTAAGGGTCAGTTTGGAATTGCCGAGCTGTGAAAATAATCGCTTTCAAATTTGCTATAAAAGAAATCAACTGTAAGATAAAGTAGTTTGGGATTTGGTAAACTTTTTGTTAAAAATGTTGTTGCTACTAATTCCTGCATAATCAGAACATGATTGCCACATAATCATTAAACCCAGTGCCTTTTCGAAACTGATTCCTGTATAATCAAAAAGCACCTCATTAGCTGATTTCCCTTATGATCCGTTTGGTTCATGGGAAAGGAGGCTTCAGAATGAGAATTCAATTGCTTTTCCATATTTGGTAAGTCCAGGTATGGGAAATGGTTGCCTAGCACATGGGAAAGTAGGGGGAAAGTGAAACCCTCCTCTTGACTTAGGTTCTGTTTTCCCTCCTCATGGGAAAGTTTGGGAGAATGAGCCAACATTTAATGCACAATTTTCATAACTATTTTGTCCCTATGATCAATTTAGAACTACAACGTATCATTAAATGCATTCTTTTTTTATTTAATTTAATATGGGTGTAATTGGAAAATTATACAAATTTTATTTTCCATTCCTACTCAAAACAAACATAGAAAAGGAAACAAAGTGAAATCTCTCGGTTACTTTCCCGACATTACCAAATGTGGGAAACGAATCTTTCATTATCATTCCTTGGGAAATGACGTGGGAAGTGATTTCCCCTCAAATCTATTCTGTGAACCAAACGGGGCCTTATAGCTTTCTCTCACAGTAATTTTTAAAAATAACTGATTTTCTCATAATTTACCAAACGGCCAAGGCTTCTAAATTTTTTTTTATAAAAAAATCACTTATCAGCCCAAATAAGCAATGTCAAACAGGCACTAAAATTTGAAGAAGATTAAAGTAAATAAATAAATATTTCACATCGAATTTTCAGCGGAAACAAATCACATCCAAAATTTTACTTTTTTACATTATTTTACAAGTTAGAACTACTCAAGAGCAAACTAAAAAGGTAGCTCATCATTCAACCACAAGCTATGTACACAATACACTCTATAGGCATGTCAAAATCATCACCGAATTTTGTTAATTGAAGTTGACAAGAGTGGTTGGACTATCTTGATCACTTTCTTACTTCTTGGCTTCTTGTTAGAGTTTGGGCTGCTTCCTTTCGTTACCAATGTGGGTTAAACAAATCAATAAGTAATTTTCAATTCTTGTATATTGATATGTGTAAGGATTATTTATATTATATTTGTACAATAAAGATATAAACGATAATAGCCTTAAATGGTAGTAATTACAAATATTTGTTGAGCAAGTCAACTATGGTGATTAAGAAGAATTAGGTTCTTCTCCCTTGATGACTGCGTGTGCGTTGGCACTCTTTACGGTTTGAAACATGCTCCTCAAGCTTAGAATGCCAAATTTACTGGATATCTCCGTTCTCTTGATTTTACCATATTAATTTTTTGAATTTTAATTTTTTTAAATATGAAAAAGTGTGAATTTACCATATTATCCTCATTTAATTAATAATTTCAATTCTTATTTGCATTAATCAATGACATTTTCTAGTATTTTGAATGTTTTATCATTCTTTGCATTTTGCTTTATATATATATAAGGGCATTTTTTGGTATTTTGAATGTATTACCATTCTATGCCTTTTGCTTTACATATATAGATTATAAACTGACTAATCTACACTAATTAATCTTTAGCAAGTGCCGATGTGATCATAATCACATTTCACAATCAAATATTGCCACCGGCAAGTCTGACCCACCAGGCATAGTTCATCAAAAGTCGCCCTTGAAGTCTTTAATTAATAATTAAGGGTTCTCAAGGTTAACGACAGCACTGCTCATATGTATTAATAACCTCTATCAATACACCACCGACATCAATTGAAGTCTTGTATTGATACTGTTGAAGTTCTCTATGATAAAAAATAAAATAAAAATCTTTGAAAAAGTCGCCTGTAAAAACGTTCAAGTCTTCAATAAAAATTGTCAAATTTTGAAAATTACGCTTTTCTGGATATTGATTGAGAAAAAAAAAATAGTGACGTAGGGCATAACGAAGTCGATGACGACTTTGTATATACAAGTAGGAATATATTTTACCATCTTTTGATCGGATCTGCACAGAAAAAGAATAAATTGTTTTAGTCTGAGGAAGCCACAATTTCTTTCGGCAAGTACTTACTATTAAAGCATAATTAACAAGACTTGGAAGGTATACGACTTTGGATAAGATTATGTTTAGTTGGAGAAAATAATCATAACATGGGAACATGTTAAAATGCTTTTGGGTTCCCTTCTCAATGCGAACGTGAAGAATCAAAGTATTTTTTATTTTAGTTTTTTGGTTTCTTTTATTGAGGAAAATGTAATAATCCGTACTTTAGAACTTTAGTTAAAGACTCCGACTTTTTCCCAGAAGACTTTGTTTTGTCATTTTTTATTTGCAGAGAAGTACTGGTGAATTACATACCTGTAAGACAGACTGGAACCCTTCAAGGAGAGAAGCTTCCCTAGTACTTGGTGGATCACCCCACATTTCTCTTTATTCACCTTATATTCTAATTCAAATTTTCACCATTTCTAAGAAAACTCCATTATCTTCCCAAATTACTCCTAAATACACACCTATCAAAAAAAAAAAAAAAAAAAACTCATCAACCTCACGCCCGACACCCCGCTATCTAGAGAGATAAAAACACTGTTATCAAATGTGTATATTATTCTATTATTATTATTAAGTTGTAGTAAATGTTTTGATTTTATGTTATTTATTATTAAAATTCCAAGGAGGTTTTGGTTTTATTTTCAGTAATCACACTTCATAGTCACCAGAGCTTTTAATTTTGTATTATCAATCATAGTTTTGCATGTGGCCATCCTGACTCCAGTCTTTCACATACTCTCCAAGATATCTAAGCCAATTCATCAAAGACAAAGAAACTCAAATTGACATTTTTATTTTTTTCAAGGGCAGGGAAAGACGAGTTAGATTCAGTCTATAGGTGTGAGGATAACTGTCATACCAGCCCCCCCAAGAAACTCAAAATTGAATTTGACTTATTCTACGTAATGGGGTGTATGGGAGTGTGTGTATAGATGTATTAGGGTTAAGTATTAAGTAGGATGACATTTTTTGTCTTTTTACATAATAATAAAACTTAAGAACTTAATGATTTAAATATTGGGATGAACAAAGAAAAGTGTGGGGTTTAAATAGAAAAACTCTTTAGATATACAATTTGAATCTCTTTGTGATTAATTACTTAGTTGAATGAATATGAGAATACAGTGGGGGCGCGGCAAACTCTACTACTTGGACTAGACACCTGATAGTGAGACCAAGCTTTCACAACATTTGAGCAAATTTCTGCACAGAGAATATTCGGGGGTTGATTCTTCGCCCTTCGAGCTTCCTTTTTTCTCCTATTCCTTGATCCCTGCGAACAAGACCAAAGTAAATAGACCACACTAATGGGTGTTGGCCAAAGATCATCCGATGCCTAAGCTAGTTAGATGATTTTGAGAAAGATATGAAAATAACAGAGAAAGTTGGAGTTTTCTTTACGGTACGAGAGAACTGGGTGGTCGAAAAATAGTAGTGCTCTT